AAATTCTGGAAGTTAACATTCAATGTTATTATAGATCTTTCCAAACTCGTCCCTACCATTAAGTTGGCCATTCTCCTGGGTTGCTTTTTCGTACTCTTATTTCTGTGTGTCTGACTTAGTTTTCCTGGAATAGCACTCCCTTTAGAACTTCTTGGAGAGCTAGTCTGCTGTTGGTAAATTATTTCTGGTTTTGTTTATCTGAGAATGTTGTCTTTTCTCCCCATATGAAGGATAATTTTGCCCAGTATAGTATTCTTAGTTCAAATTATTTTTCACTTAACACTTTAAATACATTTTCCCATTCTTTCCTTGCTCACATTGTTTCTGATAAGAGGTCCACTGTTAGCCTGATGGGATATACTTTGAAAGTAACTTGAGGTTTCTCTCTTGCCAATTTTAGTATCTTTTCTCTGTGGTTTTGGCCAATCTGGCTATAATGTGCCTTGGAGACCTTCTTGGGTTGATTCTATTAAGGGTCCTTTGTAATTCCTGGGTCTGGATATTTGAATGCCTCTCTAGGTTTGGAAAGTTTTCTTCCAGGATTTCATGGAATAGATTATAAAGGCCCTTATTAGTTTCTTCCCCTTCTGGGATACTGATTGTCCAGGTATTTGGGAATTTAATGGTATATAGTAATATCTGTATATTATTCTTATTTTGGGGGTTATTTTCTCAGTGTTTTTGGTGAATTTTTCTAGGTCAGAGGTTCTGTCTTCTACATCTGAGATTTGACCTTCTGCATGATCTAATCTGTTTTTAATACTTTCAAGGGAGATTTTGATTTCCTGTATTATAGCCTTTGTCTCTAACAATTTTGTTTGGTTCTTTGTTATGGCATGTATTTCCTTTTTCAAATTGTACAAGAACTTCTTCAGCTCCTGGAACTCATTGTCCCTTTTCTCTTGCATCTTCTGGAGTTCATTGTCTCTCTTCTCTTGCATCTCCATTAGCTTTGTCATTATGGATATTCTAACTTCTTTATCTAACATTTCCATGAGTTTCCTTGTATTGTCTGTGAAGGAGTGAAGGAGGAGTTCTTCTTTTCCCTTAGGGAAGAGATATTTTCTTTTTCTCTCTCTCTCTCTTTTTTTTTTTTTTTTTTTGGGCGTTTTTTTTCTCAATGCGCACATAACATCTGTGCCAGACAGACAGAGAGAGACAGAGCGACAGAAAGCGAGAAATCACCCCCCGGGGGCGTGGCCATGCCACAATCCCTTATCCTCCATTCTCCTCTTGGGATCTTGGGCACACACGCACACACACCCAGCGTGAGTTTTAAGCCACCAGGTCCAGGACTCAAACTGCAGTCGACTACATGGGAGTCCAGTGACATAGCCATTATGCTAATTGCTGGTCCCGGGGAGAGATATTTTCTTGGCTTCTCGTATTTCTTGTGCCTCGGTGGTGGTTTCTGGTCATCTGATGGATTATACATTTTCTTTTCTAATTTTTAGAGTTTAATCTGAACATTCAGAGGCGTGCAGGAGGAGGCTATCTGCAACCTCTAAGCAGTAATAATTTTTCCTTTTGTGCAGCAGATTCCGGGGAAATTGATGATTACTCTGACCCTAAAAGTATCCAGATATTTGGCTACTGTGCATCTAGACCTCTCTAGAAACTTAATGTGTGGAGGCTGAGCAGAAAAGTGAGAAAGGTCAAAGAAAAAGGGAAAAGAAACAAAGAAAAAGAAAAACAAGACAAAAACCATTAAGGGGAGAAAAAATAATTTTTAATGCAGATGGTTGGTGATTGGCTTGTCCTATGTGAGAGGAGGGGAGAGATAAGAATTAGCAAGATAAAAGAGTATCAGAGAGCTAAGAAGTTTAAAAATGAAAAAAAAAGTTGGAGAGAGAGAAAGAGATGGAGAGAGACAGAGAGACTAAAGAGGATGCTCTACCTGCCTAGATCTGGGGCAGGAGGGTGAAGTCTGGGCAGAAAATCTTTGGTTGTCCTAATCCCTGGAAGGGGCCAGTCAGAACTCAAATGTAGATGGCTGGTGATTGGTTTGTCCTTCGTGGAAGTGGGAGAGATAAGAATTAGCAAGATAAAAGAGTGTCAGAGACCTAAGAAGTTTTAGAAATTAAAAAAAAAAAAGTTGAGAGAGTGATGGAGAGAGACAGACTAAAGAGGGTGCTCTACCTGGCTAGATCTGGGGAGAAGGAGGGCTAAGTCGATAATAAGTGTTTTCCTTAAAGATCTGATATGAACATGTAGTACCCATATGTTGGCTAACTTCCTTCTGGCCCCCGTGATAGAAAAACTTAAAGGGGAACTTAAAAAAATGGAAAAAAATTAGATGATCAGGTTTTGTTAAATTGTTACATATGTCTTGCTTAAACTTCTGTTTATTAATTTACAGCCAGAAAATTTACAACAAGCAAGTTTGAAAAAGAAAAAAAAAAAAGGAATAAACTTTTGCCACTTGAGGTAAAATGAGTGTGCCTGGAAGACATTATGTTAAGTGAAATAAGCCAGACACAGAAAAAAAAAAAAAGAAATACTACATGTTTTCATTCATACATAGAAATTTAAAATTCCTTATTCATACATAAAAGTAGAGAGCTGAAGAATGACAGCCACGGGAACCAGCAGTTAGCGTAATGGCTATGTCGCTGGACTCCCACGTAGTCGACCGCGGTTCACGTCCTGGACCCGGTGGCGTAAAACTCACGCCGGGCACGTGTGCGTGCGTGCCCAAGATCCCGAGAGGAAAATGGAGGAGAAGGGATTGCAGCGTGACCATCCCCCCTGGGGGGTGATCTCTCACTTTCTGTCTCTATGTCTCTCTCTGTCTGTCTGGCAAGCGCACATGCCCTGTAGCGGAAAAAGAAAAAAAGAGAGGAAAAAAAAAAAAAAAAAAAGAATGACAGCCACAGGCTAGGGAGGACAGGAAGAAAGAGGAGTTGCAGGAATATTGATTAATGAAACAAAATCACGGATAAGAGGAACAATGTTTACTGTTATAAAATACAGTAGTATAACCATAATTAACAACAATTTACTGTGTATCTCAGGGTACCTGAAAATGAGGGTTTCCCCTATTCCCAACAAAAAGTAAGGGCAGTTTCTCAGGAGGATGAGTACCACACCAAGACATTAAGGGAAGTGCTGGTTGGAAAAATGAAGGGTATCATCCCAGAAGATCTGCAGAATCAGCTCTCAATATGCGCATTTAAGTACTTAATATAGTTTATATTCTACCTCTTGAGTATTTTCAACAGAAAAAATTAAGGTAATCAGAAAAGTTATTCCAACCTGAATATGTGAATGTATGAAAATCAATTGGAGAAAAAAAAAGAGAAAGAAAAGAAAAGAAAACCTGAGCATCTGTACAATTTCTGTGCCTTCACAGGAAAAACAGGATCTGATGAGAGCTCTTTTCAAACTCAGATTTAAGGAATGCTGATGAGTGTGTATATTGCAAATCATGTCAAGATGGTTTGGTCTGGCTCCCTCACCTTCTATCTTTACCGTGTTTGAAGATCACAGGTAAACAACTTACGTTATTAGCTGTACTGCACTTGTATGCTTCTTATGTAATTAGGACTTTGCTGTTTTATGTCATTGAATTTAATGTGCATGTACTTAGGCAACAGATTGATTTTGGCAATGAGCCATTATTTTCTGCACCTCTTTTAAGAAAGGACCACCTGGTCAGCTAGCACTGCTTGGCCAGCTAGCCCTGCTCAACTTGGCCTTGATTCCACTAGTTCAGTCAAGATGGCCTCGGCTTAGCTTGGCCTTGGCTCAGCTTTGGCTCAGCTCAGTTTAGTTCAGTTCCTTGTACTGTGAGCTCCAAGAGGGAGGAAGTGTCTGAGAGCATTTCTATAAGCTCTGTAAGCTCCTGTGAACTCAGTAATAAACAACATGACATCAATGCCCCACGTCTTTTTCCAACTCCCTATGTCTCTGTTCTATCCGCCCTTCAGAGGAGGAAAGAATCTTGGAAAACAGGGTGTTTGCAGAGACTGAGAAGTTTGTTTTCTCAGATGTTTCTTCCCCCAGTCTAAGAAATTGGGTTTTGAAGTATCACAAATCAACTAAGAATATTTTTACACATTGTTTTTATGCCTGAAAGTCACACTGTTTCTAATTCTTCCCCTTTTTAATCAGTAAAAATAGTACAAGGAGACTACAAAAAGTTCATGGAAAAATGAAACTAAAGTGTGAGTTTATTGTGATGTAAAAAAAATTTTTTAATCTATGCATGGTTTTTAAATAATATCAATCTCCCATGAACTTTTTCAAGACTTTTTCAATATTTTAAAAATTCTAAAGTTGCTCCTATGTTTCACGCGTCAAAATTTGCCCTGGTTTTAAACTTAGGCTCATATCTAAAAGGCATTTCTCTAATTCTAAAAGAATGAAATATTCACAAAGTGGTTCATCCATATTCTCCAACTTTATTGCTACTAAAATCATCTGAAGAGCTTTTAAAATTCCCACTCCCAAATTACAACCTCAAAGATCATGAGGTACAAGCCTGGGCATCAAAACTTGTGGAAGTTCCCACGTGTCTAATGGGCAACATCTGCTGAGAAGCGCTGCTCTGGATCACCAGTGCTCCCAGTACTTCAAAGTTGATCTGACGTTTTTCATCCTTCTTAGACTGTACATTCCTTGAGCAAAGTGTATTAATTCAGTTTTTCTATCTACTACCTTGATGTCTAGTCTGTCCTGTTCTCTACAAAGGTGAATACAGCAGAATGATGCTGCACAAATCCTTCAAAGAGAGTTTAATAACCCATCTATTTCTGATTCTGCCCCACTGGTTTACCTGAGTTACAAACAAAAGAGGCCTACTTTGTATCCACCACAGTAAACTTCTTAGGATAATAAACTTCTTAGGATAATAAACATCAGCAAAGCTCAGTAATAAAAATCATGATATACATGTTGCACTTGTTATTCAAAGTGTACTTGTTGCACTTGTTATTTTTCAAAGATTATCTCATTACTATCCATAATATATTTCTTTGGCAAAAAAAGTTAAAATTTACCAATTGGGCTAAAGAAACATCAGGGTCAGATATCTGATATACTTCCACTTGGTTTAGAATGTCCAGTAGTTCAGTGTAATATTCAACAACCTAAAATTAGATAAAAAAAAAAAAAGAAAGAAGTTTAATAAATTACCTAGTTCAGTCCTGTTAATTTTTTATTTTTTGAGAGGTTTTCGCTATAGGGCGCGTGCACTTGCCAGAAAGACAGAGAGACAGACAGAAAGTGAGAAATCACCCCCCCACCAAAGGGGATGGTCATGCCACAATCCCTTCTCCTCCATTCTCCTCTCAGGATCTTGAGCATGCACGCACATGCGCCCAGCATGAGTTTAAGCCACTGGGTCTAGGACTCAAACCAAGGTCGACTATACGGGAGTCCAGCAACATAGCCATTACGCTAACTGCTGGTCCCCAGTTCTGTTAATTTTTAGAGTTTGATATTCATCCTTATAATTACCATGGTGGATCCTTATTTTAAGTGCCATGGGAAATTATCTCTATAGTAGAAGAACAACAATGTTTCCTCATAGGAAACCTAGAAACAGATGATATAGAAAAATGCAAGTTCAGTTTTGGGATACTGAACTGGAAATGTCTTTGAGACATCCAAATAGAAATGTTAGTCAGTTGGCTACGCTGTGAGGAAAGAAATTTGCAAGTCTCTACAGAGAGAAAGTAACTGAAGTTATGGGAAAGATGAAGGGCCTTGGAAAATAGTAGAGAATGAGGGAAGTAAGGAACTCCAATATGGATGGCTAGATGCAAGAAGATCTCAACTAAAAGGAAAAACATACATTCGGTAAACTTTTATCTACTCTCTATCCGTATTTCTAATCATTTCTTGTATAAAACTAGCAGTGGAATTATATGGTTAAAAAGCATTGGGACCAGCAGGTGGCATGGTGGCTAAGGCACTGGAATTCCACATGGCCAACTGCAGTTCTAGCTCCAGACCTAGCAGCTTGAAAATCATGCCAGGGGCCAGCAGATGGCATAGTGGTTATGTCACTGGACTTCACATGGCTGACCATGGTTCAAGTCCCAGACCCAGTGGCTTAAAACTCACGTGGGGCACATGTACATATGTGCCCAAGATCCCAAGAGGAGAATGGAGGAGAAA